ACTTTAGTGTAATAACTTTGGCTCTGATCCCTACACTGTGATAAAAACGAACAAAACATCGAAATATGCACCTAAAATTTGCCGGAAAAAGTATATTGAAACTATAACTTTAAACGAACAAATCTGGTTCTATTGCTTGCGTCATTCCATTCCTTGCGCTGTGATGAAGTAAACGGAGAAAACTAATTCTGCAACTAAAATTCGCCGAAAGAAAAAAGCAAGTGAAACTATCATTTTAGCATAATAAATTTGTTTCGATTCCTTGCACTGTGATCGAAGAAAACAGAGAGCAAAATTTACATCTGAAATCTGTCCGATCCTTGCACTGTGATTGAAGAAAACAGAGACAGCGAAATCTGCAACTAAAATCCGCCGAAAGAAAACAACGCGTGAAAATGTCATTTCACCGTAATGAAGTTGGCCCGATTCCTTGCACTGTGATTGAAGAAAACAGAGACATCGAAATCTGCAACTAAATTTTGTCGAAAGAAATAGTAAATTCCGCTGTGATAGTATGAAACAGAGACAAGAAAATATTCAGCTAAACTTCGCCAAAAGAACAAGGCACGTATACGAGAGGGTTCATCGAATGTTCAGATACGCATGGAATGTCCAGATACTCGTCAAAAAGACCGCTCGGGTGCTGAATCCAGCTTTAGAGTGGATGCGTGCGCTAAAAAAATCAAAGGACATTTCCCTCTGTCACAGACGAGAAGGCAGCTTAATGTATAGTGGACTTACAATTTCCTAAGTTTTCCTTCCCGTGACAGAGGTTTCAATCTCACCTATCTAGTGAGATATATATTCAACACTTTGAATATGCAATCTCACCTCAGATCTATCTCACACATCTACATGATATGTCATCTCACTAACTAGGTCAAATGATCAAATAAACCCAGTAAAAAGTAAGAAATCTCGAATTACTTGATTATATTCCAATGAATTTCCTAAGGTTTTCTGACAATTTCTATTATATATTACACACTATCCTAAAGAATTGTGTATCCATGTTGCATAACATTGTAGGCTCTGGAGCACTTTCACGAAAATTTGCAAGTCTACGTCCATATATCATGTAACTTGAATGCAAGATGAAATTACATCTCTGCACACCAACATACTCGGAAACCTTTGCTGATGCCGGACCCCATTGCCACCAATCCAAGACAATGTGTAATTAACTTCTACTAAACTGGCGCCGTATCGCATCTGCGATCATCTGCATCTAGAGTCCAGAACATGAATAAGAGACTGAGAAATAAGAAATTAGTTAATGAGTTTGCACGATCTTGCTTATGCCTGCCCATGCATGCCCGTTCTTTGCTAAGCCATTCCAAATCTCGTTTTACTCTACGATTCCTCTTCTCCTAATGCGAAATCCTGTGTTCAGTAATAAGGTGTAGAATTCATAATTTACTTTGGAACGAAACAGAGTCCAGGCATCATGGTCAAGAATGTGTATGAAAAAAAAACGGTGAATTTTACGAGTTTCCGACTCTCCCACGTTTTTCTCTCCGATGTGCATCCGAAGGCTATTTTATCTGTAGGGCAGGTTTGAGACTTTGCCTACAGAGCTGATATTAAAATTGCGAATTAAAAGTGACTTGCAAAACCTTTCTTCTTTACCCTCATTTGATGTGGAGGTCGTCGTTTCCACATCATTCCGGAATGGACTTCACTCGCCTCACGCTTCCTCGTTTCACCAGACTCAAAATGCTCTCAATTCAGCGGTCGTAAATTTCCCCACTTCGATCATATATCCCCGAACCACAATCGAATACACTTCCTCTTTTCTTCCTTCCGGATGTCCATAGATGAACTCTATACACTCACTGAGTTCGGATGAGTTACTCACAATCGAAGCTTTGATCGGGTGCTAACGACAAAGTATCGATGCTCATGGTCGCGGGACGTTCAGGTTTACTCTCGAGAAAGTATCCACACTCATCGTGCACACTCGGTGTGCAGTCGATGCGATTCAGTGTGGGGTAATAGTTCGATTCCCAAAAGTTGTCTATCGCGGTACGTTTGGGCCAAGTCTCGATAACGTATCGATACTCGTGTTCGCGGCAAGTTTACGTCAAATGTCGAGAAAGTATCGATGCTCACTGTGAACAATCGGCGTGCAATCGATGCGATTCAGTGTGGGGTAAAAGTTCGATCCCCAGAAGTTGTCTATCGTGGGACGTTTTGGTCAAGTCTCGATAAAGTATCGATACTCGTGGTCGCGGAAAGTTCGAGATATCTCTCGGGAAGTTCGAGTAATCTCGTGAAAGTATCGATGCTCTTCGTGCACATTCGGTGTGCAGTCGATGCGATAGTGTAAGTAATCGTGCACGTTCGATGCTCAAAACGCTGTCAGTCGCGGTTTGTTTCGGTCAAGTCTCGAGAACGTATCGATGTGAGTGGTCGCGTCACGCTTATGTCAACTCTCGAGCAAATGTCGATGCGCATGTCGCGTCACATTTAGGTCAACTCTCGAGCGAGTATCGATGTTCGTGGTCGCGGGCGTCTAAGTCAACTCTCGAGCGAATATAGGTGCCCATCGTGCACATTCGGTGAGCGTAAGGAGTGCCCGTGCAATGACCAAAACATTGTCTCTAGCAGGGCCGCAGGCGGCTCATCGTATGTTCTCCGCGTCGGACATAAGATCAGACGTACGACAATGGACGGACAATATAGAGGTAGTCCGTACGATCTTTCGGACGGTGTCAAGCGTATGCATTCTATCGAATATAGATATTCCTTGGACGAATTGTCATTGCTGCTCGATCGGAGCTCAAAATAATGCGATAGTTTTGAAAGAGGACATTTACATTCTCCGTAGACTTATGATGATGAACTACATGTACAATTCACAAAATATCATCCCAGAAAAGGTTATCTATCGCGAACGTCTTGCCTAATCTAAGGATCCACAAGCGCGAGCCGTTTGGGACTCAGATCCAAGTGACGACTAACCATACCATACCACATTTGGTTGAAATAACATGCTCAAAGTTCCCATACAAGACAGAATACTTCTAGAAATCATTGCCTTCGATCTCATTCGTTTCGAGACCGAGACAACATAAGAAACCTCGTGAAACATAATTCAAGCTGATGTTCAAACAATTTTTCTAATATTGTACTAAGATTTAGCATGCTAATAAGGCAAAACATTCTAGTATGCAAGTAGAAACAGACGAAGATAACATCTTAACAAACAAATCAGCAAAACGTTGTCTGTCGCAGTATGTTTTGGTCAAGTCTCGAGAATGTATCGATGGTCATGGTCGCGGGACGTTTGGGTTAGCTCTCGAGAAGGTATCCACACTCATCGTGCAATTTCGGCGTGCAATCGATTAGTTTCAGTGTGCGGGATAAGTTCGATCTCCAAAAGTTATCTGTCGCGGGACGTTCGGGTCAAGTCTCCAGAAATTCTCGATACTCGTGGTCGCGGAAGTTTAGGTCTCGATACTCTCGATAAAGTATCGATGCTCGTCATGCACATTGGCGTTCAGTCGATGCGTTTGTGTACGGTGGTAATGCTAGTTCGATGCTCGACGCACTGTTAGTCGCGGTTTATTTCGGTCAACGCTCGGGCGAGTGTCGACTTTCATGGTCGCGGTGCGTTGAAGTCAACTCTCCAGGGCGTGTCGATGCTCATCGCGCACATGCGATGAGCGTAAAGAGTGCCAGTGCGGTCACCAAAACATTGTCTGTAGCGGGCCGCGGGGGTTTCACCGTACATTCCCCTCGTCGGACTTAAGATCGGACGCACGACAGTGAGCGGACAATTTCGAGGTAGTCCGTACAATCGGACGCACGACAGTGAGCGGACAATTTCGAGGTAATCCGTACAATCTCTCGGACGGTGTCAAGCTTATGCACTTTATAGGACAAAGATTCCTCGGAAGAATTGTCATTGCTGCTCGATCGGAGCACAAAATAATGCGATAGTTTTGTAAGAGGACATTTACATTCTCCGTAAATTTATGATGATGAACTACATGTATAATTCACAAAATATCATCCCAGAACAGGTTATCTATCGCGAACGTCTTGTCTATTCTAACACGTGATTATTCACAAAACTGTCGCAAAATTGTCTGTCGATCGTGCACATTCAGTGTGCATTCGATCCGTCTCAGTGTAGGGTAATAGTGCGCGATCGATCTCCTAAACGCTGTCTGTCGTGGGCTGTTTTGGTCAAATTCCGACAGAAAATCGATGCTCATGGTCGCGGGACCTTTAGGTCAACTCTCGAGAGAGTATCGATACTCATCGTGCACGTTTAGTGTACAGACGATACAATCGGTGTAATAGATTGATCCTCAAAACGGTTTCTGTCGCGGTATGCTTTGGTCAAATCTCGAGAAAGTATCGATAGTCATGGTCGCGAGACGTTTGGGTTAGCTCCCGCGATACCTTCAGGTCATCTCTCGAGAGAGTATCGATAGCTCATCGTGCACATTCGGCGTGCAATCGATGAATTTCAGTGTGGCGTCTTAGCTCAATCTCCATAAGTTGTCTGTCGCGAACATTCGGGTCAGGTCTAGGAAATTATCGATACTCGTGGTCGCGGAAGTTTAGGTCAACTCCCAAGAAAGTAACAGTGCTCGTGGTGCACATCCGAAGTGCAGTCGATGCGTTTGTGTGTGAGTAACAGTGCTAGTTCGATTTGTGTGTGAGTAACAGTGCTAGTTCGATGCTCGAAGCGCGGTTAATTTCGGTCAACTCTCGAGCGAGTGTAGACGTTCATGGTCGACTCTCGAGCGTCGATGCTCTTCGTGCCCATGCGATGCGCGTGAAGAGTGCCTGTGCGATCACCAAAACATTGTCTGTAGCGGGCCGCAGCAGTTTCACAGTACATTCCCCGCGTCGGACTTGAGATCGGACGTCCGACATGGACGGACAATCTCGAGATGGTCCGTACCACCTCTCGGACGGTGTCAAGCGTAAGCACTTTATCAGACAAGGATTCCTCAGAATAATTGTCATTGCTGCTCGATCGGAGCACAAAATAATGCGATAGTTTTATAAGAGGACATTTACATTCTCCGTAGACTTATGATGATGAACTACATGTACAATTCACAAATTATCATCCCAGAACAGGTTATCTATCGCGAACGTCTTGTCTAATCTAACACGTGATGATTTGTCCTTTGACAGTAAGATCATTTCCCCTGTATTCCCGCAAACTACGTCCTCCCAAAATCCGAGACCCACCCGAAATTTGAAGTATGTTCGCTAGTTCGCATCACCAAAATTCCAACAACCTAAGGGGACTCTGAGTGGCCCCCATCTCGGAAGTCCTTGAAAATCAGATAGGAATAAGTAACCCTGACTCATCGAAGTCGACCTTTGCATTTCGAAGAGTAGTAGATGGAGTTGCTTATGCCAAGCTACTAATACAAATTGGGATGAAATCGTCCGGGAATGGAACTCCCTTCTTGCGCTTTGCGCAGGTGCAAAGTAAGAGCGTAGTTGTTAAGCTGCACACACACTGATAGATTAATAGCGGAAAGCGAAGGAGAGGCAGCTACAGCTACAAAATTGCTGAGTTCTTGAGCGATCTCCAAAGAGGGCTTGCGAATTCGGCATGGAAGAGGCGTTTCTTAGAGGGGAGCGAAACAGACAGACCATATTTTGAAGATTTGAGCGAGGGAGGCATATGCAAGAAAGCGTTACGTCATTCATGTTCTCAGAATTACCCTCCAGCCGCTTTCCGGCTTACGGCTTGCGGGAACGAACAGCTCAAGCACTTTGGAGTCAAACGATCCTTAAACGAGAGCCACATGATTTCGAGATAGTACAGCTATGAAAGATGTGTATGCAGATCCACAAGCGCGAGCCGTTTGGGACTCAGATCCAAGTCACGACTAACCATACCACATTTGGTTGAAATAACATGCTCAAAGTTCCCATACAAGACAGAATACTTCTAAGAATCATTGCCTTCGATCTCATTCGTTTCGAGACCGAGACAAAACAAGAAACTTCGTGAAACACAATTCAAACTGATGTTCAAACGATTTCTCTAATATTGTACTAAGATTTAGCATGCTAACAATGCAAAACATTCTGGTATGCAAGTAGAAACAGAGGAAGATAACATATTAACAATCAAATCAAGGAAAAAGATCAGATAAACGCGTACCTCAAGGCTCCGAAGCTGTTCTTGGTGTTGTGTGAGAAGCTGCTTCACTGCTTCAAGTTCCCTGGATCGCTCTTCATGCTCCAGTTGGCGTTCGTGCTGAATAGCAACTGCCCTTTTGAGGATATGGTTATCTCTCAGCAAACCTTGGAGTTGTTCCTTGAGAGCCATGTTTTCCTGCCGAAAACCCAATTAAAATGTTAGCTACATTCGTCCAAAACGATTCGTGAGTTCGAAAGATTCATAACAAAATTTAAAAAGAATGCAAAAGAATAGATTCTTACTTTTCTGACGACCTCTGTGATAACTCCCGTGCGAGAGGCAACTGTTTTCTCAAACGCCTCCAACAAACGAGTAGCCCTCATCCTGGCGTCTTCCAAGTCTGAAGCACTCAACATCTCCCTCACGAGGAGGTCGACCCACTCGGTGCCATCGCCGGGGATATTTCCCGCAGGTTGTTGGCATGTTTTATCTTCCCCCAGAGAAGTTTGGACGACAGTATTTTGTCCATACCCTGCAGCAAAATAACCATCAAGTTAACTCGAGCTAAAAAATCACTAAATCATGCAACAGAATTTAAGAAGAACTTAACAACAACAACCCAAAAAATCTTTTGAACGTCGAATCACCTTCAGTGACAGCCGCAACGCTTGCTGATGAAGAGGGTGCACCAGAGGAAGCGGAATGCCCTCCATTCTCGCAAGGGTTGATAAGTTCACAAGAACTGAGTCTGAGATCAGTTAGGCTCTTGATAGCGGAATCCAAATTCCTCCCGCATGACTCGTAAACTTTCTCCACCAGCTGAAACCACGCCAAAAAACAGTGAAAATTGAGAAAAAGACAGATAAAAAAACAATCTTTAACCCTAAAAAAGACAACTCCGGGAGCAGAAACTTCAAAAAAAATTCGACAAAAGGACTTAAACTGATAAAATCTGCTCTGCATTGCAAAAAAAACAGGCAAAAGCAGGCAAAACCTGTCCGTCCATCTCGGGAAAAGAAGCTCGAAGCTGAGTAAGATGCTCGTCCAAGTAAGAGACAGAAGGCCGCCCGGGCGACCCTGCCTCCGCAGCTCCTCCTGCGCCAATTCTAATCGGCGAGACAACGGACTGGAAGCGAATGGGAGAATTGCCCCCACAGCGGATTCTTTTAGCGATGGGAGGCGAGCCGTGCAGATCGTCGAAAAGGGACCGCTTCCCGCAAACCACCGCAGACATTGCAACAGTCACCACAAACGTAACGCCTCTGACAATCTTCCCTCTCCTTCACCAGAATTTTTCCGGCAACAGACTGCAGGTACAGCACGTGGGGCACCAAAAAAATCAGTCAGTGCACATTCAATAGCCTGCACCAAGGATCAGTGAATTATTTTTCCAAAATACGGCAAGGCACTACTTCCTAGTACAAATCGTTCGGATCCAGGTTATGTCCTTTGCAAATTCAAGATCCCTTCTGTCACCGACAGGATGTAACGATCTGTAGCACGCGAAGGAAACCGGTCGGTAGTCCGGTCCGAGTATCCTTACAGTGTCCACCCTCCCCGCCCTCCACCCCCTCCTCCTCCCAAAGGTCAAAAATTACAAGGACGAAGAGCGCTACCGAAGGCTAAGCTTCCAAGGCCTCGGACCAAAATTACTACTCCTAAAATCCATGGAATTCGAACCGTCATAATGGTCCCTGTGCCGGCCAAATCACGACCTTCTACAGGCAGCATCACACATCCTGCGTGAGCTACCTGCAGTGTACCATCCCCTGACCCCGACAACAACCTCTCTCCCGCATAATCCAAATGAACACCCAAAACTATGCAACGCAGTAGCTGCTGGCCCAGAAACAGGGGATGGCGACCCGTGAAGAAGTTGGGAGACTTACGTTCAGGCCTACGCCGTTGTGCCCGACCAAAATTTACACATACCGACAGAGCATTCACCGAGTGCCTTGATGAATCCAACCACTCGCATAAAATCCAGTCCGTCTTAAAAAAATTCGAAACCCAATTCTCGCGAAGACGTAACTGAGACGAAAAATCCTCCGATGCACTAATTCACTGGGTTACTGACCAGCCACTACTAATCCTTATCCTTCACCAAATTGTCCGACGCTCGTCAAGAGTAGGGCGAGACACGAATTGGGTCCCAATAAGTTCCAATTTATTGCTAATTACTTAATCAACCGAAGGCCTCGATCACTTAACACAGGGCGTTCTGTCCTGACACAGGCGAGACGTGTGACAGGAGACTGCCAGCCCTGTCAGATAGGACGGAAGAGTTTCCGTCACATAGACTCGAGACATTCATGAACAGAGACGGCCGTGCGTGTACCGTACGCAGTTGACAATGAGATCAACAGGTCAAAATCGAAATTGGACATCCCTGACGGATTTCGCACTGACAGAGCAAGAACAATGGATGGGCCCTGTGTCGGGCATCCCAGGCAGGGAAATTCAGGGGATGCCCCGATTGTTCGCGTCGAGACCTAAGAATGTCTCGCGCTTAAGTGATCCGCTCAGACGGCCGACACTGATGAAACTCCGGGAAAGAAGACTAAATGTAGGAACAGAGAGCTCTCGAAACCCGCAAAGCCTGAGTGAGCAGATTGGGAAGAATCAGCAAGCAATATATAGGACTTAGAACTCGGAAAGAAGGGGGAGGCCGGAAGGAAGGACGTGGAGTCCGAGAAGGGGTAGGAGGAAAGGCAGAAACCCTTGGTGGGGCAGGAAGTAAAGTAAGCGATCACATTGGCCTCCAGAAACAGCGCAATAAGAAGGAAGAATTAGAGAAAAAGGCGGGAGCGACCGAATGTGCCGTCTTCGTGACGTTAGATTGGAAAAGACACCTCCTTCTTCAAACACGAAACATCTCATTCTACTCTACTCGAGAGGTAATAGATACATACCACAAAAAGTGCTTCTCTCCACTGCCCTTCTCCTCTCTTCGTCCTCACTTCAAATTAGCCTGTGTCTCTCTGTCTGAAGTCGGTGGTCAACTCTTCGACTTCAAATCCAAGTCTCGTTTTTAGGGTTTTAAGACCATGGCTCGACGTTGTTCTGTTCCCATTTCACCCCACCTCGCCTCACCTCAGGTCCTTCACAAATCTACCTCTCTGTCTCTATCCTCTCGTGCCTCTCTCCTCTCTCTCACCTCATCGCTCGCTTCCTTCCTGGCTTCCCTTCTTCCTCCTCCAACAGGTCGTTGTTGGGCTTCAGCCTCGACCTCGACCTCCTGCTGCTCCTCCTGCTTCTTCACGATCAATCAATCGAATATGACCTCGACTGCTGCTGCTGCTCAAATGCGCTTTGAGGCTGCTGCTCCACCTCCTACTCCTACTCCTCCTCCTGGCTGCTGCTGCTTCTGCTGCTGCTGGTGCGTCGTGTTGTTTGGCCACCACCAGACCAGCAGCACCAGCGCCATAGCTCTGGATCTCTCTTTCTTCCTCCCCTGACTTACTTACACTTACTTACAATGAAAGTAAGGACACGTTTGTCCTGACCGTCCTCGCCCTAGACACGAGTTAAACACTGGTCACCTTAATTCCTTCCCCTGACCTGCTGCAGCACCAGCAACAGCAGCAGTGCAACCAGCTGCTGCATCCCACCCCATCCCCCCGTGACGTGGTCCACCATCTCCATCCCATTTCACTCCATTTGCGACTTTTTACTCCACTATTTCCCCCACTCTGTCCACGAACCGTTTTGTCCAGTCTGGAGCTGGACATTTTTCCCATCATTATTGGGTCCGGATTCCTGCACCGAGGCTTTGTTCTTTCTGCATTTCGCCGTCGGTGGCATCATTCCGCCAACAGGAAGCCGGGTTGAGCATTGCCGCTCGGCTTGGTCCTCTCGGCTTTATATTGGCTCACTCTTCTAAATTATATCACTCCCTGTTCGGTGTTTCTCTTCGGTGCACCGAACGTCTAAATTCATTCCAATTTCCTGCTGTGACGTCATGTTGACTGCGATGTGCACTCCTGACTATGACTGCAGTCCCACGGGTCACGCATATTTATAGGGGGGATGGAGGATCGAATTTCATCCAATCCGTCCAAAGAACCTCTGAACAAGTTCTAATCTTCTGGTTGTGATCTAATTTGGAGTTCGAAGTGCCCACTTGTTAATGGCTGCAATCACAATGGGCACGGAGCGTTACGCAGGGTGAAGGATCGTTACACAACTTGCATATCTGGGGATCTAGAATGTACGTGTATCTATAAATTCGAACATACATGAGTTCTTTAAGCCTATGCAGAGCAAATGAATCAGAGCAAAGAAAAAATCTTAAAACTTGGGGATGTCTTCAGCTTCTTGTTTCTGATGCCATTCTACTAGTGACGAATGAAACTCCTAACAAAATGGGTTGCATACTTTTTCACAATACAGTATTCAAAATATTGCTGACTCGACGCAGTAAGCAACGGGTGAGATCACGGTAGCTTCAGGACTGACGATTCAATATTCGTAAAACCAGCGGTCATTTCTTTTCATATTTCGGCATGAACATGGGCACTGCATAACGTCTCATAATCAATCAGATCGCCTCGGTCTTATGGGTTTTGAAGAGAGTGATAATATTAAGCGGTTTCATGACACTCCCTACTAACTGACTATGGCTGCAGTCACAATGCACTAACCCTTTGGGGAATGATCGAATCTATTTTTGGTGCGATGAACCTCTGAATATATTCAATTTTCTTCTTGTGATATAGTTTGTATCGCGAAGTGCCCACTTGCTTTTGGTTCCAATCACAATTGGCACCAAGCGTTACAGGTAATGAAAGATCGTTATTCAACTTGCATATGTTGGGACTTAAAATGAATGTGTAAAATATACACAAACCTACATGAATAGTTTAAGGAGATGAAGAGTATATGAAACAGTCCTAAACCTTGGAATGTCTTCTGCTTCTTGTCTCTGATCCAAATTCATTTAGTTTCGAATGAACCTTATAACCAATGGGTAGCGTTGTTTTTCTAAATATAGTCTCCGAAATAATGTTGGGTTCCATAACAAGCCCTACTAACCGACTATGGCTGCAGTCATAACGGTCACTAAGCCTTATGGGGGATGGAGCATCGAATTTCTTCTTGATTCAAATAACCTCTGAATAAGTTCCAATTGTCTTGCTGTGATCTAATTTGGGTCTTGAAGTGCCTTCTTGTTTATGACTGCAATCAAAATGGGCACTGAGCGTTACGGTAGATGAAGGATCGTAACAGAACTTGCACATCTTTAGTCTAAAATGAGTTTACATATATACACACATACGTTAATTCAAAAGGAACTGCAGAGTATATGAGGCCATCATAAACGTTGAAATGTCTTCCGCTTTTTTGTCTCTGATCCACATACTTTTAGTCACGAATAAAACTCATTACAAAGGGGTAGCCTTGTTTTTCACAATGCAGTTTATAAATACTGCTGATTCGACGCAGTAAGCAACGGGTGATATTACGATAGCTACAGCTACAGGACTGATGATTCAGTATTCGCAAACAAGAATTCACTTAATTTCATGTCATCTTTCGCCTTGAGCATCTGCATTGCATCACGTCTCATAATCAATTTGATAGCCTCGCTATTATGGGTTTTGAAGATTGTGATCGTATTAAGCAGTTCCAGTACACGCCTACTAACTGACTGTGGCTGCAGTCACAATGGGCACTAAACTAAGCCTTAGGGGGATGGAGCATCTAGTTTCATTCCGGTCCAAAATACCTCTGAATAGGTTCTAATTTTCTGGTTTTGATCTAATTTGGATTTCGAAGTGCCCATTTGTTTATGGTTTCGATCACAATGGTCATGGAGCGTTACAGAGAATGAAGGATCATTTCACAACTTGCATGAATGGGAACTAAAATGAATGTGTAATATATACACAACCAAACACAAATAGTTTAAGGAGATGCAGAGAATATGAAACCATCGAATACCTTGAAATGTCCTCTGCTTCTTGTCTCCGAACTAAATTCTTTGAGTCACGAAAGAAACTTATTACAGATGTGTAGCATTTTTTTTCACATTAGGATATTCAAAAAAATGCTGGGTTCCAGGACGTGCCCTACTATTTGACTATGGCTGCAGTCACAATGGGCAGCGAGACCTATGAGGAATGGAAGATCAATTGTCTTTTCGGTCCAACGAGCTTCTGAATAAGTTCAAATTTTCTTGTTGTGATCTAATTTGGATTTCGAAGTGCCCATTTGTTTATGGGTTCGATCAAAATGGCCACGGAGCGTTACAGAGAATGAAGTATCATTTCACAACTTGCATAAATGGGTACTAAAATGAATGTGTAATATATATACAACCAAACATTAATAGTTTAAGGAGATGCAGATCAGATGAAACCATCGAAAACCTTGGAATGTCTTCTGCTTTGTATCTCTGATCCAAATTCTTCTAGTCACGAATAACACTTTTTACTAACGGGTAGCATTGCTTTTCAAATTAAAGTGTTCGAATGGGAGCTGGTGCTCGAGGACAAGTCCTAATAACCGACTATGGCTGCAGTCACAATGGGCACCAAGCCTTATGGGGGATGGAGCATCGAATTTCTTTCGATCCAAAGAACCTCTGAATAAGTTCCAGTTTTCGTGTTATGATGTAATCGGATCGCGAAGTGCCCACTTGTTTATTACTGCAATCTCAATGGGCACGGAGAGTTACGGGGAATGAAGGATCGTTGCAGAACTTGCATATCTAGAATATAAAGTGAAGGTATATATACACATACAAATATCGTTGAAATTTTAAGGAGATGCAGAGTATATGAAACCATCCTAAACCTTGGAATGTCCTCTACTGCTTGTCTCTGATCCCAAATATTTGTCACGGATGAGACTCATTACAGATGGGTAGCAGACCTTTCACAATACAGTATTCAAATTTTGCTGGTTCGACGCAGTAAGCAACGGGTGAGATCACGGTAGCTACAGGAGTGATGATTCAGTATTCGTGAACCAGCATTCATTTCATTTCATCTTTCGTCTGGAACATCGGCATTGCATCACGTCTCATGATCAATTTGATAGCCTCGCTCTTATGATTTTGAAGAGTGTGATCGTATTAAGGGGTTCCAGAACACGCCCTACTAACTGACTGTTGCTGCCAGTCACAATGGGCACTAAGGCTAACCGGGGATGGAGCATCGAATTTCTTTTCGGTCCAAAATACCTCTGAATAAGTTCCAATTTTCTTGCTGTGATCTACTGTGGTCTGCGAAGTGCCCATCTGTTTGTGAGTGCGATCTTAATGGTCACGGAGCGTTACAGAAAATGAAGGATCATTTTACAACTTGCATAAAAGGGTACTAAAATAAATTTGTAATATATTAGAACCAAACAATCATAATTTGAGGAGATGCAGAATATATGAAACCAACAAAAACCTTGAAATGTCCTGAGCTTCTTGTCTTTGAACCGAATTCTTTTCGTCACGAATGAAACTTAATACAAACGAGGGCATTGTTTTTCACAGTATGATATTCAAAAAATGCTGGGTTCCAGGACGTGCCCTGCTAATTGACTACGGCTGCAGTCACAATGGGCACTAAGCCTTATTGGGATGGATGATCAAATATATTTCATATGTGTAGAT